ATAAAGTCTTTAAACATCTTCCTATCCCATCCCCAACAATCAATCCATGTGCAATATCTACCTTTGTGCATTGTCCCGTGAAATATCATGAAATATCTAAAATAAAACCCCAATGCAAGCAAATCTTCCGGTCCCATAATCAGTAATAATAGACTGTCGCAAAGGCCACAGCCCCAAATGCCACGTACCAGCCGCCCCCATTCTCCTGACCTTTGGCTCCTCCATGGCCGGCTGCAAAGCAACGCCACGGGTGCGACCCGCGCGCCGCGGAAAACGCGGTCCCGCAGAGTTTCCTTGGCGACACCGGAGGACTCAGTGGAGGAGCATGAAGATTGGTCGGTGGATCTGGGAGCCAAGAAAGTATCCCCGTGCCATTTCAATATCATTCCGTGGCTCCTTCCACAATTTGATTTCATACCTCTGCCCAGATCTGCACCAAATCCGCAGCAAATCGGAAGATGTTTAGATGTAACATGACGTAACATTGCAAAGAAAAGGCGTTCCGTCGAGGGGCAACGCACACCATCTTCAAACCAACCACCGAACAAACCGCTAAGCTTCGGGCTTCGACAACCGCCGCCCGAAGCGGCGAGGTGGCTCTGATCCGAGCCCTTGAGCCCAACGAAAAGCATGGAGCCAACATGGATCGACGAACATGCGCATCATCCACCTGAAACTGCCAAAAATGGTTTGGCCTCATTTGGCTGCCATTCTGAGGAAAAACACATAAGACAACTGCCTGCTTAGAGCTGCTAGAAACTCCATTTAGTGGTTTCAACCACGCAAAGCGCGTATCTTTGAGTTGTGTCTGATCTGATGAACATACCGATACACGAGGCATGGGCCCCATACCGACTGGCGCCCAAGAGTCCAACAGATCAATGGCGCCGAGAGCCCACAAACAAAATAACGTACAATACAACCTACTACCCACAATACACACCAAATACCTGAGTCAACGGGGCATGGTGAAGCAGGTTCTGCAAATCCCCAAACTGAGTACAGTTTCCCTAAACCTCGGTGAAGAACTACTATTAACAGTTTTTCGTGTGTCCAGCAGGTTCTTCATCACTGAAATCTCAGGTTCCATCTGCGTGCCAGGCAGGATCTGAGAACTGGTCACCCTGAACAGTATCAACCGGATGACAATGCTCTTTTCAACCCCAGTTCACCCCCTGCGCCCCAGAGCTTTGTCACCTTTTTCACCGGGAGCTTTACCAAGGCTTTGACCTGCAGGCGCCGCGCAACGCGCCATCGAGACTGATCCGGTGCAGCTCCAAGGCACTGACAGTACTCGAACACATGGATGGACAGAAACATGTGGACAGGCGTGGACAGGAAAGGTGTTGGTGATGTCCTTTCTTGTATTTGCTTGCCACTGGTCAACTTCTAATTGGATATTGGGTGATATTGGCATTTAGCAGCCATGTCCAAGGGGTCAGCCATGGGGAAGCCCTGAGTTTTGAACGTCCCTGGGAACCGTCGGTCGGAAGACCTGGCCAGGTCCGGAAAAAGCTCATCCAACGGTGATCCTGGTGCCGGTCGAATCTGAAAGGAATAGGCCTTGGTCAGCGAGGGGCCCCCTTTGCCCTTTGCGGAAATGAGCTCCCCCCACGGCAAAATCCAAGGCCCTGCGGGAGGAGAGGAACTAAACAGCACACACAAAGAAAAACAACACCCAAACACTCCATGGGACTGTCATATTTGCCCGCCCCCACACGGAGGGGCCCCGTTCGCAACAGGCGCGCCCAGGCGCTGTGAATGCGAAGACCCAAAGCCTTGCCCTTCTTGCTCTTCTTGGCCTCGGCTGGGGCCACGAAACTAGAGAAACAAAGCCCCTGGCAGCGGAGCAGAAGCTACCGGCCATTGCATCTGGCTGAGTGCTTGTTGCTAGGGCCTGAACCCGAAAGGTGATCCTGTTGAAGGCAGGACATGATAAGTCGTCAGTAATTACCATCGGTCAGTGTACCATCAGTGCACCCAGTCTGTTTTACTATATGAGCAGTTTAAATACCAATTTCGGTTACAGCCCGATTCAACTGGATCCACACATCCTAGCCACACCATGCCACAGCTGTCTCGGAGATGTTCAAACCCTCTTCAAAAACTCCCCAAGCCATTTTTGGATCACCGACGTTCCATGCCCGACCTCCCAGTCGGCCAATCCCGCCCAGTGGCCTGGACCTTCGGAGCTTCACTCGGTGGTCGAACTCTGCCGCCGACGTCCGCCGTCTTCTCCGCGCGGTCCGGCCGGCGCCGCTTCCGCCTGGCTGGGCAACGTAACAAAACGGAGGTCACCATCCCCAAGGGCGATGTGATGTAATCAGTGCCAATGGAACATCTCTCCCTGCATGCTTGCTGGAAACAGTATAATGTATTTATTACATGTTATCGGAGGGTGCTCAGGGGGGTCAGTTCCAAGTTCCAACCCGCCTCTTCCGTGGTGCTGCGTTCTGCGCAGGCTCCTCAGGCTCCTCAGGCTCTGGTGCCGTCCGGTCGAGGCGGCACAGGAAGAAGCCGCGGCAGCGATGGACGTCGGGTTGTGAGCGCAAGCAATGCGAGGCCCAGCTCGGAAGCGTAGAGCCATGGCCATGCTCCTGGATCTTCATCGGTGGAACAGCGGAACTCCGCATCCTCCCGACGTTCATTGACGGCATTAATACATGCTCTTTAATTCACACGTCTTTCGATCTTCTTCTACCATTGGCAGAATGGAGCATGAACATCGGTAGGGCCACAGAAAACATCAGAAAACCAATGGACCCAAGAACATTGGGCTGCAAAACAAAGGATGGTTTATCTTGAATGGGTTGGTTTAAGGAAAATTCTACCGGAAACCAAGGTGTTCACCCCAAAAACGATGGGTTTCCTGTCGAATTTCCCTTACACCAATTCTGGGTTATCGGCTTTGTGACTGGAAAGTGGGTATTATGACAGCTGTGTAATGCGCACCTGTTTTCAAGAGGCACGAGACATCAACACATCTACTCCAAGAATCTGGAATCCTGGAAGTCTAAGAACATATGATTTGCTCAATGGTTGCAAGTCAAACATATAACAAAAACAAACAAACACGTAAAAAAACATAGATTAAAATCATGCATGACTGTTGGTCACCAACAAATCCATACAACAGCCATCCCGGAATCCCTGCAAAACATTGCAACAACAATTCAATACATACTACATACTGATAAGGGCCCACAAACAACGCATGGCAAAATCATCGGCTCTAAGAATGACAAAACAAAATCACATTCGCGTTCAAAACTTCATAAGCTGTGCATGCTTAAGTGTTTCATTTTGATACTAATTAATTCTAGAACTATCAAATACTATTGGGACAATCCGGATCCCCTCGCCTCTTTGGGAGCATTGTGCCACCACGGCAATGCTTGTACCACCTGGAACCGGGAACTCGGAAGCGCAGCCTCACAGGCAAACCGTGGGAAGCACTGCGCTGCACTTCGCATGTGCGGCGTGGAGACTGTCTGGAAAAAATAACGCCCAGTCGTGGAGAGAATGCGCAGCATGCTCACTGTAGTTGCATGATGTTGCATGTAGCTGAACTACAAAAGCTGCCATCTAGCCATCTACTGCAGCTTCCCCCGCAAAGCGTTCCCAAACTCTATCTAAGTCTCTCTATAGTGTATATTGTATACACTGGTTGTTTCATGTTGTTTCTACATTGGAATCTCTCAAAAAGAATCCGCAATGCGGACAATCCGCGTTGACTTAAACCATGTTAATCCGCATCCCCAGTGCAACCTGAAGCTTTTTCCTCACACCAAAGACAGTTGAGTCAGGCATCAAACTACTCCAAAACAAGTAGGTTTTTCGTAGAGGACACTCCTTCTGGTATCGGGAGCGCCCTTCAACATGGAACCATGGAACCATGAGGGCTGGGGACAAAGGGCTCATGCCCACTTTAGACTCAATAAAACAAGTGGTCTTTCGTAGAAAAGCGCCACCCTTCAAAATAGAACTGTTAGGTAGCATCACCGCACCTCTTCCATCCAACTCATGAGTCACTATGTAGCGGCGCGCTAAAGTCTCCAATGCTCAACACCCTGCCTAAAATCTCGACAGCATAGAGAGAGACTTTTCCTCTCTTCCTCACAGCTGCTCTGGGGCCCCATCGCCATCTTCGTATAAAGGCGTCCCAGCTCTCATCGTAATCTCCACGGACTATCTCCTGGCACAGTCTGTGGTAGTTGCGGTCATGGACATCATACACCATGTGGAAGTCAAAACGCCAAGCTTGGCCGATGACTCGCTGCAAGTAGAAGGTCGTGCTTGCTCTTGTTGAGCCCACGTATAGAGAATATGGTTCAGTCCTCAAATTGATTGAGCTGAGGGTCTGGCCTTGCTTCTTCCATCATCACATCTCTGGTGGTAGGTCCATGAAGTCGATCATCAGGGTCGCTGTCTATCACTCCCTCGTCGCGAGGTTGTGTCATGTTCTCACATGCTCTACGGGACCTGCCAGCCAAGTGTAGTACCCATCTTTATCCATAACGCGCCTCCTCCTCGATGTTTCTCTCTTCAAAGCTGAAGGAGGAAACCACCTGCACTGAGTAATTACCAGTCTTCTTCCTCACTGTTTAGCTCGAAGATCTCAGGGTATTCTGACGGGTTGCCACATGGTACAAGCGGACTTGTCGAACTTGTGTCTTGCCACCGCTGCTTGTTGAAGCTCCAGTCGATGAAGTGCCATGTTGTTGAGGCTCGTTGTAGGCGATGTTGACCTGGCTCGCGCTGTCAGGCAAATTGGTTGACACATCTGAAGCTCCACTGCGAGGAGCTGTGGCTGCGCATTCGCCTGCATGGAGTCGCCAAACCGCTGAGGACATTCATTACCCCAGTGTCCATACTCATTACAGATTCAGCATTGTGTATTTCCTTTGCCTTTGGAATTCTTGCCTTTGTCTTTGCCTTTGTTCTTTCCTTTTTTCATTTGCCTTTCGACTTTCCCCCTCCTCGATCTCCACCATAGCCGCCCCATGCACCTTGCCCTTGCCCTTCTGCTTTCCTTTATATTTGCCCTTTCCCTGAGGGCAA